TACCAGCGGTTGCGGAGGAAGCTCGACCGCCTTGTTTCTAGCGGTGGAGATTCGGGGGCAATCTCGGAGGTGAAGCTTCTCCTTAGGGAACTCCAGTATGATCGGCGTGCCTCTTTGGTTCTGGAGAGGGATTATGGGAAATACCACTCGCCTGACCCTTTCCAGAATTGCAAACAGAGTGCAGCAGTTAAGACGATCTCTGCTCTGAGGGATAGTACAGGGTCCCTGGATAAATCCAGGTCAGGGATTCTGGAGGTCTCCAGGTCCTTTTATGCGGATTTACTGAGTGAGAAAACACCTTGACCGGACAGGGATGTCGAGCTTTTTGGAATCCACGCCTGGTCTGGACAGTGATGTCCCTCTGGCGAGTTTGACTGGGGAGATTACTGCAGAAGAGGTGTCCAGAGCGATTGATAGTCTGGCCATTAAAAAGACTCCTGGGCCAGACGGTCTGACTGCCGAATTTTTTAAGGCTTTTAAATCCCGCCTGGCACCTCGTCTCGCGGAAGTGTATAACAGCTGTCTGGATGAGGGATCTCTCCCTCCTTCCATGAGACAGTCTGCAGTTATTCTCCTGTCAAAGGGTAAAGATCCTTCGGCTATTGAGAACTGGCGCCCCATCAGCCTCCTCAATGTCGATAGAAAGGTTCTGGCGAAGATCTTGTTCTGGCGCTTGTCGTCAGTGGCAGACAGTTTGCTTTTCTCGTCAGCAGCATTGCTCGGTCCGGGGCAGGAGTACCTTCACAGCGGTGTTAGCTGTCCGGGAGGCTCTGGAGCGATGTAAGGCTGAAGGATGGGGAAAGTACTTGCTGGCGGTGGATCAGGCAAAGGCCTTTGATCGAGTTGATCACAAGTACCTCTGGCATCTCCTGGACCGGTATGGTTTGGAGGGGAGGTTCATCGGCTGGTTGAAGACATTGTACCAAGGGGCGGAGAGCTTCATGTTGGTGAATGGTTGGGTTGGGCAGCCCTTTGAGGTTGGATCTGGGGTGCGCCAGGGGTGCCCGCTGAGTCCCTTGCTCTATGCCTTTGCCATTGACCCCTTCGTCAGGAGGCTAGATGGCGGGGCGGTGAGTGGGGTGCTGGTGGGTGCCACTGGAGATCCGCCTTTGAGAGTTGTGGCTTATGCTGATGACGTTTCTGTTTTCATTTCTGGACCGGAGGAGGCGCAGGAGGTGGTTTCAGTAATGGATCAGTATGCCGAGGCATCAGGTTCCAAGGTCAATCAGGACAAATGTGAAGTTCTCTGGATGGGTAGGGAGGGTGAGAGCTTCTCACTCCCCGGACGCCTTCCCGGTGCCTCAGCCGAACATCAAAGTGTTGGGCATCAATTTTGGCTCTGCTGATTACAGCAAGCAAAATTGGGAATCCAAGCTGTCGGATGCCGAGGTCAAAGTGAGATGTTGGAAGGGGTGGCGGCTCTCCTTGAGGGAAAGGGTTGATTTGATCAAGACTTTCCTGCTCCCAGTCTTTTTGTACGTCAGCTTCGTTTGCCTCTTGCCAGAATCGCTCTATACGAGGATCTATAGCTGTTTCTTCCAGATGTTATGGGGGAATCGGCTGCTGAACCTCGTCAAGAGGGACGTGACTTACTCATCCAGGCGGGAGGGTGGCCTAGGTATGGTCAACCCGGTGGTCTTTTTCTCTCTGATGTTCTTGAAACATAACTTTGGTAATATGCTGGCAGAGAGACCGCCTGCATGGGTAGGACTGTTCGGATCTGGTTTGGACCCTTTCTGCACAGTTGGGAGAGTGGCGGGCCAGTGAGAAGCCTGCGGGTCAAGCATGGTAAGCTCCCGGCTTATGTGGCCCTGTGCCTGAAGTTACTCCGGCGGTGGCATGTGACTGCGGAGGAGGTCCGGTCCCTCCCCAGGAGGCTCCTGGGTGAGAGGATTGTGGCATCTGCTTTCCATGCGCCGCTGGCCTTGAGAGATTGCCCGGGCCATGTTATGAGGGAGGGTTTGCGGTTGATAAATCTGGAGCGGATCCCCTGAAGTTGCGGGACCAGGCCTGGCTCGCCTTCCATGGCAGGCTCTACGTGAGGGGTAACCTGAAGTACCGTCCTGCGGATGACCGTGGTTGTCCGAGGTCGGAGTGTGGGGGTGAAGTGGAGACTATGGACCACTTCTTGCTTCAGTGCCCCTTTAACGTAGAGGTGTATAAACAGGTGGGAGGGGGCTCTGGGTGTTCCTTTCCTCCATCGCATGTCGTATGCAGAGTGGGTGTACGGAGCATTCGAGAGTCGCATGGGTTTTAATTTGGACACCCTGTTTTTAGTCAGCTTAGTTGTCCGTTATTACACTTGGATGGCACGGTGTCAGGTCTCCATTCGGCAGAAGGTCCTCCCTGTTCAGGTGGTGGCGAGTGACATCCTTGGTGAGGTGGGGAAAATTCGGGGTCTTGAGAAAGACAGGCTGCGACGCAGAGCTTGGATGGAGGCGTGGAGGAACATCAAGCCTGTTGCTGCGGTCTGTTGATCTCGGGTGGTGGGATCTGTCCCTAGTTTCTGCCTTCAGCAGCACTCCCTAGATTTTTGCGTTCGGATCTTTTTGGTAGCCTTTTGCATGGTAGGTTGTAGGGGTCAGACGTGGAAGATTTGCGGGTTCCTTAGCCCTCCCCTGTGGTGTATATAATAGTATGGTTAGGTCCTTTGTATATAGTTTAGGCCAGGGGTGGGCAAACTTTTTGACTTGAGGGCCGCAATGGGTTCATATATTGGACCCGGGGGCCGGACCAAGAGTAGATGAATGATGTGTATGTGTCATCCATAGTAAGTATAGTAATATTCCCCCATAGTAAGCATAGTAATTAATCCCCCATAGTAATTAATCCCCCATATAGTAATTCATCCCCCATATAGTAATTCATCCCCCATATAGTAATTCATCCCCCATAGTAATTCATCCCCCATATAGTAATTCGTCCCCCATATAGTAATTCGTCCCCCATATAGTAATTCGTCCCCCATAGTAATTCATCCCCCCTATAGTAATTCATCCCCCATAGTAATTCATCCCCCATAGTAATTCATCCCCCATATAGTAATTCATCCCCCACATAGTAATTCATCCCCCATATAGTAATTCATCCCCCATAGTAATTAATCCCCCATAGTAATTCATCCCCCATATAGTAATTAATCCCCCATATAGTAATTCATCCCCCATAGTAATTCATCCTCCACATAGTAATTCATCCCCCACATAGTAATTCATCCCCCATATTAATTCATCCCCCATATTAATTCATCCCCCATATTAATTCATCCCCCATATAGTAATTCATCCCCCATATAGTAAGTCCCCCATATAGTAATTCATTCCCCATATAGTAAGTCCTCCATATAGTAATTCATTCCCCATATAGTAAGTCCTCCATATAGTAATTCATTCCCCATATAGTAAGTCCTCCATATAGTAATTCATTCCCCATATAGTAAGTCCTCCATATAGTAATTCATTCCCCATATAGTAAGTCCTCCATATAGTAATTCATTCCCCATATAGTAAGTCCTCCATATAGTAATTCATTCCCCATATAGTAAGTCCCCCATATATAGTAATTCATTCCCCATATAGTAAGTCCTCCATATAGTAATTAATTCCCCATATAGTAAGTCCCCCATATAGTAATTCATCCGCCATATAGTAAGTCCCCCCCCTGTGTCAATTCACTTACCTTTGGTCCGCGCGTTCCTCTCGTATTCCCGCGCCGTTCTGGTCTTCAGGGAGGACTGTGAGAGGAGTTCGTCACGCTGCCCCGCCTACATCCTGGCTGCCCCGCCTACATCCTGACAGCTGCAGAGTCCTGACGTCCGAGAGGAGGGAGGGGGGCGGCCATCCGAGAGGGGGGGCGGCCATCCGAGAGGAGAGGAGGGGAGAGGAGGAGAGGAGGGGAGGGGAGAGGAGGAGGAGAGGAGGGAGGGGAGCGGGCGCCCGGCACACAGGAGAGCCGCATCTAAATTTGTAAAGAGCCGCGGCTTGCCGACCACTGGCCTTGCGGGAGCCTAGCTCCGCGGGCCGGATTAAAAGGTCCGCCGGGCCGTATACGGCCCGCGGGCCGTAGTTTGCCCATTGCTGGTTTAGGCCATATAGGCCGTAAGCAGCAGGTTTGAATATGGAAATTGCATATGGTTTATGTTTTTGTCTGAGCCATAAAGGCTCTTAGTCATGTGGTCTCGGCCATAAAGGCCTTGTACTGTAAATATTGTATATAGTTTCCGTTTTTTTTTTTCCTTTCAGGTTATGGACTTTTATTTATGAGCCGTTCAGGCTATGTTTGAGTTTTGTTTTTTTGTTTTTTTTTTTGTTTTTTTTTTTTTTTGTTTTTTTTCCCCAGGGACTGTTGGGACATTTTAGTTTCCTTTCTGTTGAGTTTTGTATTTATTTATTTATTTATATTTATACTTTTATGCATAAGTCTGATGGATATGTATGACATCAATACATAATAAAAAATCTCCATTCCTGACAGTACCCCCCCCTCAAGGAGCGGCCTCAGGACGCTCCAAACAGTCCTAGCTGGGAAAAATGTTCCACCGCCCGGGTCTGGTAACTGGCGGGATATCAAAGACTGGCACACCTGGCAGGACTCCGGGCAGCGGTACACCAGGCAGAGGCACATCGGGCTGGACTCCGGGCAGAAGCACATCGGGCAGAGGCACACCGGGCAGAGGCACATCGGGCTGGACTCCGGGCAGAGGCACATCGGGCTGGACTCCGGGCAGAGGCACATCGGATTACCGGGCAAAGCGGCAGGCAGCGGGTCACCGGGCGGAGCGGCAGGCACCGGGCCCCCGGGCGGAGCGGCAGGCACCGGGCCCCCGGGCGGGGCGACAGGCACCGGGCCCCCAGGCGGGGCGACAGGCACCGGGCCCCCAGGCGGGGCGACAGGCACCGGGCCCCCAGGCGGGGCGACAGGCACCGGGCCCCCAGGAGGGGCGACAGGCATCGGGCCCCCAGGAGGGGCGACCGGCATCGGGCCCCCAGGAGGGGCGACAGGCATCGGGCCCCCAGGAGGGGCGACCGGCATCGGGCCCCCAGGAGGGGCGACAGGCATCGGGCCCCCAGGCGGGGCGACAGGCATCGGGCCCCCAGGTGGTGCGACAGGTCTCGGGCCCTCAGGCGGAGCGGCGGGCGCCGGACCCCCAGGTGGAGCGACAGGTCTCGGGCCCTCAGGCGGAGCGGCGGGCGCCGGACCCCCAGGTGGAGCGACAGGTCTCGGGCCCTCAGGCGGAGCGGCGGGCGCTGGACCCCCAGGCGGAGCGACAGGTCTCGGGCCCTCAGGCGGAGCGGCAGGTGCCGGACCCCCAGGTGGAGCGACAGGTCTCGGGCCCCCAGGCGGAGCGACAGGTCTCGGGCCCTCAGGCGGAGCGACAGGCGCCGGACCCCCAGGTGGAGCGACAGGTCTCGGGCCCCCAGGCGGAGCGACAGGTCTCGGGCCCTCAGGCAGAGCGGCGGGCGCGCGAGTCATCTGGCACGACAGTGGGCTCCGAGTCAACTGGCATGACCGCTGGCACTGGGTCAGACATTGGATCGTCTGGCTGGACAGCGGGCATCGGGTCACCAGGCATCAGGTCATTTGGCTCAACAGCGGGCACCGCGTCATCTGGCAAGGCAGTGGGCTCCGAGTCAACTGGTATGACCGCGGGCACTGGGTCAGACATTGGATCGTCTGACTGGACAGCGGGCATCGGGTCACCAGGCATCAGGTCATTTGGCTCAACAGCGGGCACCGCGTCATCTGGCAAGGCAGTGGGCTCCGAATCAACAGGCACGACAGTGGGCACCGGGTCATCAGGTACCGGATTGTCTGGCTCGACAGCGGGCACTGGGTCACCAGGCATCAGGTCATTTGGCTTGCCAGCGGGCACCGCGTCATCTGGCAAGGCAGTGGGCACCGGGTCACCAGGCATTGGATCGTCTGGCTCGACAGCGGGCATCGGGTCACCAGGTATGACAGCGGGCACTGGGTCACCAGGCATCAGGTCATTTGGCTCGCCAGCGGGCACCGCGTCATCTGGCAAGGCAGTGGGCACCGAGTCACCAGGTACGACAGCGGGCTCTGAGTCAATTGGCACGACAGCGAGCACCGGATCAGGTACCGGATCATCTGGATCAACAGCGGGCATCGAGTCAACTGGCCTAATAGGATCATCAGGCTGGATCAGTTCATCATGCTGGGTAGAGGCATCAGGCTGAATGCCGGCGTCCGACTGAGTAGAGGCTTCAGGCCGAGTAGAGGCTTCAGGCCGAGTAGAGGCTTCAGGCCGAGTAGAGGCTTCAGGCCGAGTAGAGGCATCAGGCCGAGTAGAGGATTCAGGCCGAGTAGAGGCTTCAGGCCGAGTAGAGGCTTCAGGCCGAGTAGAGGCTTCAGGCTGAACCACGGAAGGCAGGTTCACCAGTTTGGATACTGGCAGGATGGTATTGGTTGGAAAGAATTTTCGCTTTTTTTCTGGTTTTAACTACTGGAGCACTGCAAGTAAACGCAGGTCTGCAAACGAATGGAGCAGCTGGAGACAGAGAAGAACTGGAGGATGGAACAGGAGAGGGAGCAGTTGCTACAGAGGGCTTTTTTACAGGGTTAAAGGCAGGATAGGTGCAGCGAGTGGGAACAGGGTACTGACATGCGGTAGATAGCCAAGTATACTGGGCTGTAACTGGAGGAGCTGTTGGGAATACAGGAGAAGAGTTAGAAGCAGGACTGGGTTTTTGTAAGCTGACTGAGGCTGGGTGCAACAAGTCTGTCCATGTCTGCAGTAGGGGTTGAACAAAGCTGAGCTTACACAAAGCCTGTCTGGTCAATGACTGCACTGCGTTTATACAAACTCTTAGTGTCTGTGGTGAACATGTGGAATAACGCTCCAGAAAGTAACCCACATCATCCTCTAATAACCACACCAGGGACTCTACCTGGTCTGCACTAAATGGTGGCAAAAATTCATCCCTGCATTCGGGGGAACCAGATGAAACCAACTCTGCACAAACCTCAATCAAAGGCTGCACCTCAGAGAACTCTGTGCCCTGATCTACTAGAACATGAGCGAGCCGTATACATTCTAGCAGTTCATCCCGGGTATACTCCTTCAGAGTTTGATAAGCATACTCCCTGTCATCAAACACTAGCAGAGATAAATACTCAACCTCATCCAGATCCATCCTTCCCATCAACAAACCAAGATGGCTTCCCTGTGCAGCCACTTCTGGTCAGGATTGGCCTTGGTGTAATGTCAGGGCTCCCAGGTATGACCAGAGGTGTGTGACCGACGCAGGGAAACGCAGACTTCAGATATGGGATAAACAATATAATTTATTAACACTAACAATACAAACATAAACGCAGTGCAATACTAAACATAATACAGTGCAAACAAACCAAACCAACCACCCACAGATAACAGTACATACAAGCAAGCGTCGTCAGGCAGGCCGGGTCAATATCAATTGGGCAGGTAGGTACAGGGGGAGCAAGCGGAGAATGGTCGGGGTCACAGGCCAGGTTCAGCAGGTAGCAAGCAGCGTAGTACAGAGGGTCAAGCAGAGGGATGGTCAGGGTCACAGGCCAGGTTCAGCAGGTAGCAAGCAGCGTAGTACAGAGGGTCAAGCAAAGGAACAGAACAGGATGCAGGACAGATACAGGGCCCAGGACAAACACACACCAAGGCAGAGTCTGTGGGTCTGGCCATCCCTTAAATACCCCAGCATAATCAGTTCCAGGTGTTAGCTAGCTGCAAAGTTGAGTCTCTGATTGCTGGGAGCACCCGCTGGCCAGCCCTGGTACTGCAGATCAAAAGGCAGGTGAGTCCCACCATTGCTGGCCAGTCCATTCCTGACACCTAGATTGCAAACTCCTTGAGAGCAGGGACAGATGTGTATGTAATAATAATATATATATATATATATATATATATATATATATATAGCTGTGTTCAAAATAATAGCAGTCAGACATCACTAACCTGATCAATCACTGTTTTTGGTAGAAATGATATTTCTATATGGCAAATAATTTACTAGCAGGTGTAGTAGAGTAATAGAAATCCAACAGACCCAACAGTCATGACATGCATGCTGCTGATTCTGTGTAATTGAATCACTAATTGAAAGGGGCATGTTCAAAATAATAGCAGTGTGGAGTTCTATTAGTGAGGTCATTCATTCTTTGAAAAACAGGTGGCAATTGCCCTTATTTAAGGAAGGTAGGCAGCAAATGTTGTACATGCTGGTTACAGTGCATTTCTCTCTGAAATTCTGAGGAAAATGGGTTGTTCCAGACATTGTTCAGAAGAAAAGCATACCTTGATTAAAAAGTTGATTGGAGAGGGGAAAACAAATAAAGAAGTGCAGAAAATGATAGGCTGCTCAGCTAAAATGATTGCAAATGCTTTAAAATGACAACCAAAACCTGAAAGACGTGGAAGAAAGCGAAAAACTACCATTCGAATGGATAGAAGAACAGCCAAAATGGCAAGGACTCAGCCAACAATCAGCTCCAGGAAGATCAAAGAAGGTGTAAAGTTCCCTGTGAGTACTGTTACAATTAGAAGACGCCTATGTGAAGCCAAGCTATCTGCAAGAAGCCCCCGCAAAGTCCCACTGTTGAAAAAAAGACATGTGCTGAAGAGGTTACAATTTGCCAAAGAGCATATTGACTGGCCTAAAGAGAAATGGCGCAACATTTTGTGGACTGATGAAAGTAAAATTGTTCTTTTTGGGTCTAGTGGCCGAAGACAGTTTGTCAGACGACCCCCAAACACTGAATTCAAGCCACAGTACACTGTGAAGACAGTGAAGCATGGTGGTGCAAGCATCATGATATGGGGATGTTTCTCACACTACGGTGTTGGGCCTATTTATCGCATACCAGGGATCTTGGATCAGTTTGAATACATCAGAATACTTGAAGAGGTCATGCTGCCTTATGCTGAAGAGGAAATGCCCTTGAAATGGGTGTTCCAACAAGACAACGACTCCAAACACACCAGTAAACGTGCAGCATCTTGGTTCCAGACCAACAAGATTGACGTTATGGAGTGGCCAGCCCAATCCCCGGATCTTAATCCAATAGAAAACTTGTGGGGTGACATCAAAAATGCCGTTTCTGAGGCAAAACCAAGAAATAGAGAAGAACTGTGGAATGTAGTCCAATCATCCTGGGCTGGAATACCTGTTCACAGGTGCCAGAAGTTGGGTGACTCCATGCAACACAGATGTACAGCAGTTCTCAGAAACAGTGCTTAAACAACTAAATATTCATTAAGTGATTCAAAGGAAAGCAAAATCTTTAAACATTTTTCAGTTTATATAGTGAATGTTTGAGTTTGTAAAGAAGAATACAAATGCTGCTATTTTTTTGAACAGTCTAATATTCACTTTTCTTCAATTTTTTTAGAGGAACAACACAAATTTGATATATTTTTCTTCATGTTTTGATTTGGAATAGAATGTGTAGTGTTCCCAATGCATTTGTGTGTATTGAAATAAAAGCTATTAGAAGGATTTTGAGCTTTATTCACTTTTTTCAACACACTGCTATTATTTTGAACACAACTATATATATATATATATATATACACACACACACACTATATTGCCAAAAGTATTGGGCCAGCCCTCCAAAACATTGGATTCAGGTGTTCCAATCACCTCCATTGGCACAGGTGTATAAAATCAATCACCTAGGCATGCAGACTGCTTCTACAGACATTTGTGAAAGATTGGGTCGCTCTCTGGAGCTCGGTGAATTCAATTTGTCCTTCCGTGACATTTCCTTGCTATTAAATATTCCAGGATCAACCGTTAATGATATTACAACAAAGTGGAAACAACTGGGAGCAACAGCAACTCAGCCACGAAGTGGTAGGTCAAGAAAAATGACAGAGTGGGTTCAGCACATGCTGAAACGCACAGTGTGCAGAAGTCACCAACTGTCTGCAGAGTCAATAGCTAAAGACCTCAAACTTCGTGTGACCTTCAGATTAGCACAACAACAGTGCACTAAGAGCTTCAAGGAATGGGTTTCCATGGCCGAGCAGTTGCATCCAGGCCTTACATCTCCAAGTGCAATGCAAAGTGTCAGATGCAGTGGTGTAAAGCGCGCTGCCACTGGACTCTAGAGCAGTGGAGACGTGTTTTCTGGAGTGATGAATCATGCTTCTCTGTCTTGCAATCCGATGGACGTGTCTGGGTTTGGGAGTTGCCAGGAGAACGGTATTTGCCTGACTGCATTGTGCCAAGTATAAAGTTTGGTGGAGGGGGGATTATGGTGTGTGGTTGTTTTTCAGGGGTTGAGCTTGGCCCTTTAGTTGCAGTGAAGGGAACTCTTAAGGCGTCAGCATACCAAGACGTTTGGACCATTTCAAGCTCTCAACATTGTGGGAACAGTTTAGGGATGGCCCCTTCCTGTTCCTACATGACTGTGCACCGGTGCACAAAGCAAGGTCCATAAAGACATGGATGAGCGAGTTTGGGGTGGAGGAACTTGATTGGCCTACACAGAGTCCTAGAACACCTTTGGGATGAATTAGAGCAAAGACTGCGAGCCAAGCCTTCTCGTCCAACATCAGTGCCTGACCTCACAAATGCGCTTCTGGAAGAATGGTCAAACCTTCCCATAGACACACTCCTAAACCTTGTGGACGGCCTTTCCAGAAGAGTTGAAGCTGTTATAGCTGCAAAGGGCGGGCCAACTCAATATTGAACCCTACGGACTAAGACTGGGATGCCATTAAATTTCATGTGTGTGTAAAGGCCGGCCAACCAATACTTTTGGCAATATAGTGTATACTGTACATATATATATATATATATACATACACACACACATCCCTGGCCATGCAGGATCTCCTGCATGGTGGGGGTTGGGAAAAGACCTGGTAACCTACCCTGTAAAACAATTGCTAAAAGAATTCATGGAAGAAGTCACTTGCGAGTGACGGTCCATGCAATCACCAAGGGTCGGATACGACTGAATGGATAGATAGATAGATAGATAGATAGATAGATAGATAGATAGACTGTATTTGTAAAGTGCTGTGTAAATTGACAGCGCTATAGAAGTACCTAGAATTAATAAATAATAGACAGATAGCCAGTTGGCAGCTGCACTTGCAACATGAAAGGAATGTAGCAGCTTAGGAGTTGCTGAGCTATGTTCAGGCTCCCTGTCATTCTGGACCCCTCTCTCTCAAGCCCAACCCCTGCTGACACCACAAGTTTCCTTTGACCAGAGTAAATTAATATCAAAAAGTAAACTCACACACAGATTAGAGTAAACTGAGGCTTATATTAAACTTCAACGTAAACTTGGTTGAACAGTACAAACTGGCATTGATACTTGGAATGGGAATAATTGCTCTTAGCAACTCTATGCAAAGAAGTAACACATATAGCAGAAGTTCAATCAATGTTAGCAGGCCTGCTTTTTACAAATTAACCCAATGCCTCCTGACCTAAAGTGGTGTCAACCCCAATGAGAAATAAGATCTATCAATAATGGGACTAGCTAACTTTGGGCCCTCAGAGTCTGATGGCAAGATTTAAATCTGAGGTAAAATAGTTATTGACAGGCTAGTCAATGTCCCTTTAAGTGTAGTGAGGACTCTTGTGTGCTTGCTGGGGTCCAGTTGGTGCACAGGTAAGCAGGGATGTAGGTGATAGTTCCTGACAGGACTGATACAAAGGGGAGGTAGAAGAAAGAACAAGGACTTTTCGGTTAAGTGACACTTGACTTGCATGATGTCCCCTTTAATGTGCTGGGAAAAGAGCAAATTTTAGGCAAAAAAAGTGGTAAACTGGCAAATAAGCTTGTTGGCAAAAGGGTAACTCCACTTTGGGATGCGGTGACCAATGGCAATCCTGGTAGAAGTTCCTTAAGGAGGATAGGCCAATGGTTCAGGGAGCACGGATATGGTCTGGCCTGCAGGAGGCGTGCACTGCGGTCAGCTCTAATGATTTGACTGTACTGCAAATGTGTTCAGCAGTAGCGGCTATGGGAACTAGTCCACAATACTTCTCAACTGAATGCAATCTCCACAACTGTGTGCAGGTAAAGTAGCAGAGGAATGTCCGTGTTCACTTGCTTAGCTTGTGTATAGGACTCTCAACCTGGCTATCTCTCTCTCAGCAGATCAGGACCCCACAGGTTTCCCGGCCTCATGTACAGCTTTCCTTCTGGTCACTATGCTCTGGGTCACCTGCTGGCAAACTGTCCCGTTGAACAAGGTGGCAAGGTCAACGACTCCTTGTCTCTCCACTCTCCAACTCTGCAGCCTAGCACGGTTCTCCAGCAGTCAGCACCACTCACTCTCTCTCCGTTTCCTCTCACCCCTCTCACTTCCTGTTCAGTCTCCCGGGTTTCTGTTTATATCTGCCCTCGCCCACCTGCCAGCACCTCTGGGAAAAGTAGTCCTCCGGTACACTGCTCCCCAGCAAAATCCTGCGATTCAGCATACATGTTCCATGGGGCTCCTCTGCAGAACTTGCAGGACACTGCCATTTTGTGTTGATTTTAACATCCTGCAGGTGACATTATAGCTTATATTTGATTGTCATATGGAACCATTGTAATTACAATGCTGATGTTACAAAATGTCAGTGTATGCTGTGACCATAGATCTCTCCATAGTCTTTTGGGACACGTGACAGGTCCCAGAAGACTACGGGGCCATTCACAAAGCTCAGCGCTTCTCGCCCATGCGCAGTGGGCACCTGGCTGTGAAGCCGCAAGCTGTCACATCCGGGTGCCCACACTAAAGATGCCGGGAGAGATGACTGGAGAAACCCAGTCATGGTGAGGACACTGCCAGATTGAGGGACAGGTAAGTGGCTGTATTTTAAAAGTCAGCAGTTACAGCTTTAGTAGCTGCTGACTTTTAATTTTCTTCTTTAAAAATAGGATTTTTAGCATGTTTTTAATGCAATTTTGGTGATTTTTTGAGGGATTCCAAACTCCCAACATCCACCTGTGAAACTTGGATATATGACTAATTTCCTATAGCAATCAATGGGAGGTGCATTTTGGGTGTCTTTTTTTTTTTTTTTTTTAGATCACCAGTAGAGATGAGCGAAGTATTCAAAAATTCGATTCGACTGATTCGGCGAATTCGTGGAAAAAATTTTGATTCGAGTCGAATATATTCGCTGTGAATTTAACTTAAAAAAGGGTGTTTCTAGGCTTTAGAGAGACTTAATATTAGTGCTGAACACTGTACCTTTAACTTAAATGCCCTTGGAGTCTGCTGGGGAAGAGAAATAATACTGTCAGGCAGTATGACATGCAGATGAGTGCCGTCGATCTTAGAATCACCGCACACTTCACTCATTTGGCCAGTCACGGGGCCAAAACCAGAGTGTGGAGCCACAGTGTGCCGGTGGAGGCAGCAGCAATGGGAGGCCATACAGCACCCTATGACAAAAATGGAAACCACCAGCAGTGTGAGGAGACCTGAAAGTGGCACATGGCAGAGTGTGGCGATAGAGACAGCAGCAATGGGAGGCCGTACAGGGACCCATGACACACTCTGGACCTGGCAGCAGCATGAGGAGGCGGTACAGGGGCCCATGGCAGATTACGGGCCTGGCAGCAGCATGAGGAGTCGGTACGGGGGCCCATGGCAGATTACAGGCCTGGCAGCAGCAATGGGAGGCCGTACAGGGACCCATGACACAATCTGGACCTGGCAGCAGCATGGGGAGGCGGTACAGGGGCCCATGACAGATTACGGGCCTGGCAGCAGCATTTGGAGTCGGTACGGGGGCCCATGACACACTCTGGACCTGGCAGCAGCATGAGGAGGCGGTACAGGGGCGCATGACAGATTACGAGCCTGGCAGCAGCAACTTGGACAGGAGGACGTTCAGTTTCTGCACCGTCTGGTGCGTGCTCGCAAACTGTTGTCTCTTGGAAACGGATTCCAAGAAAGACTGCTGACGGAATCCGTGAAGAGGAGTAGCAGGAGAAGGAGCATCTGAACGAGCGGAATATGCCAACAAGTGACAACAGGGGCCCATGACAGATTACGGGCCTGGCAGCAGCATGAGGAGTCGGTACGGGGGCCCATGGCAGATTAGGGGCCTGGCAGCAGCTATGGGAGGCCCGTAATCTGCCAGCACCCTATGACAAAAAATGGAACCCACCAGCAGTGTTTGGAGACCTGAAAGTGGCACATGGCAGAGTGTGGCGATGGAGACAGCAGCAATGGGAGGGCCGTACAGGGACCCATGACAGACTCTGGACCTGGCAGCAGCATGAGGAGGCGGTATAGGGGCCCATGGCAGATTAGGGGCCTGGCAGCAGCTATGGGAGGCCCGTAATCTGCCAGCACCCTATGACAAAAAATGGAATACA